AATTATTTTCGATTTAATTTGATATGATTAAAAATTGAGAATCAATTATGATTTAATCGATAAATATAATAGAAATATTGAATTATTTAATAATGATATATCTTCTCTATTGAAAATAATTTCGAATATAAATTTTCGATATCTCATCAATTAGATAAGAATTATCACCTTTATGGCATTCATATTCCTTCTATTTATCTAAAAGATAGTCTTTCCTCATATTGATAGATTTCTGAAGATATTGAAAGAATTTATAATTAAATTCAGAATTTTCGATTCTAAATTCCGATCATAATCTGATTATCATATTCTCGATATAGATGGCACGACTAATAATCTATCTATTTATATCTATCGATATATAGGCACGATTTAGCAAGAGAATTTATTTTTGAATATTAATATATGCTCTCTCTATCTAATTAATTAATATAATTTAGATAATAGATGATTTTAATATAATTGAATCGAGAGATTTTGAAATGATGATGGCATCTTCATGAATGGGAATTCGCCGAATTCAAAATTATATATATTTTTTTTTAATATTTATTGATCATATATTTATAAGAAATCTTCATTCAAATCGATTCATGAAATTTTAGCTAAAGATATCGAAAAAGAATATATTTTTATAATAATATCAGATAATTCAATATATTATCTCAATCTGAATATCAATTTTTTAATTAGATTTTAAATGAATTGATATAATATGAATATTTTCATAATATAGATAATATCAATATTATTAATAAAATAAAAAATAATGATAGCAGCATAATTAGAATAATATATTTTTCTTAATTCTCTATAATAATAATATATATAAGAATATTATAAATACGAAATTTCTTATCAAATAATAATATAATAGAATATGTACTTGCGTGCTTCAAGCAAATTGACAGTCGTCTGAATAATATCCCTCTATTATATGAATAAGGGGAAGAAGTTTGTGTGGCGGATACTACTACGCTAACGGGCCAGATGCGGCTCTCCGCAAAAAAAGTGGCAGATAAGCAATACCAGCGCGTGGGGCGGACATAAATCTATTAAAATATGAAATCTAAGTGGTGGGTGGGTATCTACTCTGTGGCTTCTATTTTTTCGTTCTCTGCGTCTCTTCTTCTTCTTAATATTTATTTATTAATTTATATTTAATTTTAATAATATTTTCTTTTTTGAATTCATTTTTTGATTTCATTTATTCTCTTTCTTCCTACCTTTCTATATTTGTCGATATATCTAACGAATAGAATCATTTTAAAATCACGGGAATAATTATAGGATTTTAAAATTTAAGATCTAGAATTAAAATTTTAAGATTGCGAATAGACAAGACTTTAGAGTATAATTTAATAAAAGAAATAATTTATTTTTTATTTTATGCGAGATTTAAATCAAATATATAATTTAAACTATAATATTCGAATTAAAATCAATAAAAAAGAATACGCTCTACCTTATAAGGTTTAAGATTTTCATAAGATCCCCTTCTAACCCGGCCCTCCCTACGATATCTAGGTAATAACACCAGATACCTAACCATATTATATATTCAAATTTCCAGCCAGAAAAATAAAAATATTCACTTTAATATTTTAATCTTATCTACCGATTAAATAGTCCATTAAACGTTTTTTATCTACGATTTACCTAATATATATATCAATCCTTCGTATAAGCCATATGCCAGCATCTTCAAATAGATTCGAGTGTAAATTGTTCTTATCTAGAATTTATTTCTTATGAGATCTTGTGATATTGAGTAATTACCGTGGACTTGAAAATTCTGTATAGTTGCCGGAAGCAGCGGGTCGACTCTGGTTATATTATATTAATATATGTAATAATATTTATTGAAGCCTAATATCCGAAGATCCGGGTAAAACATGAATCAAATTTTGCGGAAGAGCCGGTGCAACACTATGTGGGTTGGTTCATATTGCAACCACCTTGGTTTTGCTAGCAACCTGCAATAAAACGAGGAAAACTTGCGGGAATTGAAGCATTGAAGGCCCCGGGGGCCTAGGACTCAAGCCTCTTGTAGGCTTTGTCCATGTTGTAAACATAGGTGGACATGACCTGGGTCACAACATCAGGGAAGTCATACAGTCAAGTATATTCCTGTTCTCAAGCAGGTCTCTGCTTCATGTACGAATGAAGAAGTTCTTCATCCGTAGATGCAATACCCACGCCTAACTCCTCCTGTGAATCTGTGAACCCTCAAACCTTCCCACGAAATTTCGCAAAATTGATCCTTCTGCATCAGAATGACATGATCAAGGGCAGACTGTGCCACAGAGATCTCCGGGAGCTCACGTGTAAAGTCATCCAGCCGTTCAGCCAAGTCGACGGCGAGCACTTGGCGCCCTGCCACAGCATCCACCAGCCACATCGCCTGTCCAGGTATCCGCAACGGGGCCATGCCGACATCCAGGTGATCAGGCAACAAGTCGTCGAAGATGGGGTTCGACACGTCGCTGCCGCCGATCACCTCTCAGGTTACGCAGTGGCGACCTACCTCTGTCATGCAGATACCCTTTCACAACTCAAACCAATCCGGGAATCGACATAGGCTACATAAACAGATCGATGGTCTGATGTATGAGAGGCACGAGGCCAGCTTGCACTTGCAGCAAGCAAGTAGAAGCACAGTACAATCTATCTATCTATCTATCTATCTATCTATCTATCTATCTATATTATATATATATATAGATATATAGATTTATATGCAAATCTTGGTATATGCGTGTATATATATATATATATGGAACATATTTTAACATGTGATATATAATACATCACATATTTCAGTGCTGTGCTAAGTGACCAGAGACAGCGTCTGTTGCCAGGAGAGGCCGGCTTCGGCCAAGTTCTCTGCGGCCAAGACCATGCGAAGAGCGGCGTCCAGCGAAAGGTGTGGGACCGGGTCACAGCGGTTGATCACCGACATGAGCCCTTCCTCTAGGTCCTCTCCTTGGAGAAGACCCAAGTTTGGGTAGTTCTCTAAATTAGAGTCGCTTTGGGGGTCCTTTTTATAAGAGTGCCGTACTACATTGGGGTTCTAAAGAGGGACCCTAATTTAGAGAACTCCCCATTTGCAAAAGGAAGAGAGCAAGGAAGCCTTTCAGTCTTGCGTTCGATCGCCCTACGTGCAGCATTCACAAGTTCCTTCACTTCTCTAGGCACTTTCAGGATTCGCAACGGGTCCTGCATCCAAGACCATTCATCAGCTGATGCTTGAATTACCTAGCCTTCAAAAACGACAAATCCACATATCTGAACGCTTCCCCAAAGCTCGTGCCACTAGCGTGTCGTGAAATCCTGTGCAAGATGAAAACTGCAGAAACACCCATGAACTGCCCCATGAACACTGATATTGGCCCGATAGTGGCATCAGTGTTCTTATGAGGACGACTGTTATGACCATGACGAACATTGAAGTGGCAATTCATTCTACCATTGCGTTTCTTATAATAAGCCACAACATTGCTGTTTTGTGACTGCCCTTGTGGTTCAAGCACTTGTCAAGCGGCTAGTTGCTTATTGTTCATCTTCCCCTGGCGAGTTGCACAATGAATATGACGACACGAGCAACCTAATCCTAAACCCCAAGCCCTACACCACACACCCAAAGATCTCGATTGAGGGAATTTACATCCTAAAAAGAGCTCGAGGATCGGACCTCGCCTTGGAAAGCCGGAGGTGGCCCGGCGGCAAAGGCCCTCACTTCCAGCGGCAGCGTGGACTCAGGCGAGTTGGAGTTTTAAGGGCTACTATAGGTGCTACAATAAAGGGTTAAAATTACTCACACGTAAGGATTACTCTAGACTAAAGGGGTTACTATCAAGGGCCACGGAAGCGGGTACTATGGGTTACTGCTGAGGCGGGTTGGAGCTTTGGTTGAGATGCCGGGTTGGCTTAGGATTCCGGGTTTGGGGCTTTACAGTTCCAGACCCACGGCATCTGTGCAGAAGCCGGGAATCACAGAGGCTATAGGAACAAATCTCAACTTTGGTCACGGTAGTTACGCTGGCGAACGGAGTGAAGAGACCTGCCTCATACTAGCGACGCTTGAAACGACTTCGGCCCGACCGCAGAAATCCTGGCTCCATGCTTAACCATGAACATCCATGAACCCCCCATATCCAAACCCCAATCTCGCCCCTCAGCCCCGATTCCGAAAACTAAAAATCCACAATCCTCCGCCGGTCGGACATATATATATATATATGTAGGTACGTACGTACGTATGTATGTGCCTTATGGTATAGACATATATAGCCGCCACACCTATATTATTTGTTGTGTATATTGTATAAAAAGCTGCAGTCTATATTCTACTATTATGCTACATGTAAGCTCTATACTGCATAATGTGTACTACAGTGTATACATACAACATAGACATCGATATACATATCTATATCTAAAGTCTAAATGTATATGATATGTAAGTGTGTTTGTATGTATGTATGTATGTATGTACGTATGTATGTATGTGTATATGCATATTTGTAGTTATACATATTCAACTGCCTGTGCTACATAGCATGTCTTATCCATTAAATACAAAGCTCTACATCTACATATGTGATGTGCTCCAGATATTCCGTCTTATTGGATATAGTACCCAATAAATAAGTAAAGCAATATATATATATATATATATATATATGTATACATATGCCAGCTATTCGACACCAGATATTATGTATCACATACTATATGTCATGAACTGTATGTTGTTCATTATAAGTTATATCTACATGGAATGTCGCGTGTGTGTGTGTGTGCATGAAACACATTGACATACATGCATACATACATACATGCATATACATATACATATACATATGTACTATATACAATTACATCTACATCGAGACCTACATCTGCATCTACGTGTATGAAGATGCATATGCTTTTATATATACACATACACACATACATGTGTGCGCAGATAAACTTTAGACATCTAACCGCATATGCATATATATATATATATATGTATATATATATATATATATATATTATACATATGTGGACCTCCGCAGGCCTCCGCTCTGAGCTTCATCCCCAGCAGCAAGCTCACGGCTCCACCCAGAGAGTGCCCACACACCACAAAGCGCTTATAGTCATGGGCACCAATTGCTTTCCTTGCGGGCTTTCGCAGGCACAGATAGCATCTTTCAATATTCGCGCTGATGCTCTTCTTTCTGCTGTCAGCTGCTATGCTTACCCTTCTTGATCCTGTAGGTCCCTTCTTCCTAGTCGTGCTTGTCAGCCAGGCAGGTTTGCAGATGTCAAACCCCACTGGCCACCGACAACCCTAAGGGTTCAGCTTTGTTTTTGAAGGTTCATGTAGCTTTGGAAACTTCCGGAGACAAGCTGCATGACCTGAGGCTGTGCTTCCTCCCACACAGAAAGCACTGCTCCAGCCATTCCTTCATGGGCAAAGCCGTGCAGAAACTCACAGTTGCTGCAAGCCAGGTCGGTTGCAATGTCAGCCGCATTCCTGGGCCCAGTGAGGATTGGGCCCTTGACCCCGAGACTGCAAATCCTGACTAGGGCTCAAAACGTCGGGATGCCTTATGATGCCGTAGCATGAAGCCTAAAGTGTTAAATGGAAGCAGCCAGCATCTCAAACTTTCTCTCCTCTGTGATATTCGGATCGAGATCGCCCAGTCTGAAACTCCAACTCCTGCAATGAAAACCTGGTACTGAGACCAGCGAGCGTCGCAGAGCCTCGGATGGACAGAATTAGTTCGCCGTCATCCTCAAGCAGTATCCACCACGGCTTGAAGCGGTCTGGGGCTTTGGTCTCCTGCGCGCTTGGATTTGTATGGTGCTGCACTTGGAGGTTCATGGGTAGTTATAACTAGGGTTATAAGTCCCCTAATATGGGTTATAATTATAGTTACCCTACTTATAACCCCACTTATGACTACCCATGAACCTCCAAGCAGAGGATGACTGGGGAAAGGCTCGATGTGACCCGTCCTGGGCCTCCCTGCTCAAGGTGCCACAGGCAAGCACGTGTTCCGGCTCAATCTGCAGATATTTCGTGGCCGCGACCTCCGCTCTCTGCTGCTAGGAGCTTTGGCTAGGCGGAGGGATCAACCACCGGGCCAATCGGCCAAACTTCTGCTACTCCAAAGAATCATACTTTTGGGCACGAGCCTTGTCACGCTTCGCGCCGTCGGTGGGCCAGGCGTCCCGCCACTGGAGCAGCCCCACCAAGGCCAGCAAGTTGGCCCCGTAGGACGCCACGGCCAGGCGCGTGAAGCGCAGAGCCTCAGCGAGCCGCTGCCTGTCAGAGACCAGTGGCACCTCCTCGGCAGGGAGCTCGAAGCCGGCACCCTGGAGGCACTTCAAACGGCCAAGGGCGAAGAGGTGCAGGAGAAGTGTTCCTGGGCCGGAAACCCGGAAACTTCCCATGGGGCGCCCTACATCACTATCACGGTGTACTACCACTCAATTTGCCGATTTGTCATCCCTGGCGCTCTCGGATCGGAAACTACACGGCCTGTACTTAGCCTTACTGGCAGTGTCACAATAGTAGAGCTTATATAGTGTGTATATAATATATATATATATATATATGTATATATATATATGTATATATATATATGTATCTGTACACTATATATACAATACATACATACAAAATGTATGCAGATATATGCTTATATATAATATTAATTGATACACATGAACAATACCGATTCGTGAGGGGAGCGCCTGAAAGCCGACCTTCGGGGCTTGCGGCTAAGCTACCTTGAAGCTTTGTGCTCATATTCTGTCTGTTGCTTAGTAGGGAATGGGGGAATGGGTTATAGGGACTACTGTAAGGGACCTTAAGGGGCCATCATAGGGATCCGTTCCCCCATTCCCTCCTAAGCACCAGACAGCATTTCACTGGTTTGCAAGAAACCCTTGACTGGTACCAAGTCTATGCCCTGAAGCATTAAAGCTCGAAAGCCTGAGACCCCAAAGCCCCTAGACCCTTCAACCGCTCCAAAGCCCCCGCCACCTCAAGGACATTAAGGCCTGAATCCCTATACCCGAAAGCCAAAACCCCCAATACCCTCAAGACCCTACTAAAATACCCCACTAGTCAATCCTTAAACTCCTTAGACCATTTTTCTGGCGTCCCGAGGATCCACTTTGGCCGATCTTCTCGGCCTGAGAGCTGTCCAGCGCGCGCCGCTCTTCGAGCTCCGTCTGCAGCAGATCCCAAACCTGCAGGCAGCTACGGAGTTTGAGTCTTAGGCTTTTAAGGAGCAGGGGGGTAGGGTTCAGGGTGTAGGGCCTTTAGGATTTTCGGGTGCGATTTGGGTTAGGGGTAGCTGCTGTGGAAGGGATATTTGCCCACCTCGACACAATGCTGGATTTGCCAAGACGATGGGAATATAAACCCTTGCTAACAACTACTGCAGCCCTCTGTTTCTTTTTACTGCTGCTACCGTCGTCTTCGTTGTCTAATTTCATACCCGACCCTCAATTATGAGCATTACGCGGTCAAACGTGCTGCTCTCGCTATTCTTGTTCACCTCGTACGTTGCAACTAGCAGCTAGCAGTGATTTGGCTCACCAGGCCTGCGACACAGTCTCGGCTAAGTTGCCAAGAGCCGGGTCTGCCCGCCGCAGCACACCGATGACCTGCTGCAGAGATGGCTGCCTGGGGCACGGAGAGAAGACGACACAAGCAGGACAGAGCAGGATCTAAAGGACTCAAGGCCGCAAGAGAGAGAATTCTGAAGAAGCATTGTGCAGATGTTGGCCAAATTTCGACAAACAGTGCACTTGAACCTGATGTAGACTTGCACATGAGTTGCAGAAGTCCCCACAAATACAGTGCTGCAAGCTTGGGTGTTGACAGATTTACTGCTGCCAACCAGCAGAAAGGCCTCAAACAAAATTTCCCTTCAGCCGGGCAGAAACAACACTCGTCGTATCACTTTGGGTTGTATCAACACTGAGACGGAGAAAAGACCGACATTCGACGCGATGTTCAAGACTCAAAACCCTCTACACAGCTTTGAAGCAGCTTTCTCGATGCTTCCCGCTAAGGAGAAATCACAAGGACCGGACCTGGCCATTCGTTGTCCACATGCTTGCCCAGGTGCACCGGGAGCTTCGGAAGCCTCAGCCTGTTCTTGGACTTGAACTTCTTCCGCCAAGCGATGCCCGCAGTCGCACCGAAGGCCAGGGATCCAGCAATGATCACAGAACGGGTAGGTACCGACTGCAAAGCTGTGGACCCGGAGACTCGCTCACCTTTGCTGGGTCAAGGGCAAAAACCAGGTAGAAGGAACATGTGAATCGGGCTCCTGCTGCGCTACTGAGTCATAGCCCTTAGCCCTCCAGCATCGCTATACTTCCAAAGACCACCTTAAAGGTTCCTTCACCCCATACCCCATAGGCACCCTACCTACACACCCCGCCCCAACCTAAAATGACCCGTCAAAACCTTCCGCCCACTCGGGGGAATGGATCCCTATGATGGTCCCTTAAGGTCCCTCATAGTAGTCCCTATAACCCATTCCCCCATTCCCTACTAAGCACCAGACAGTCTCTGTGGCCTGGTGATTCCGACCTCCATCTGCTCCGGAGACTCAAGGACCGGGGGCCGGTCGCGACAGGCAAAGATGCAATCATCGTAGCTCGACCCGAGAGGGGCCCCTCAAACAAAGCCTCCCCAAATTTCACCATTTTGTCTGGAGGGCTGGAGGAATGTTGGGGGTCTTGAAGCACCGCTTTCGTAGTATGACCGAGTGAAAATGTTTTAGGTTCCCTGGGTAAGGTTTTCTACACAGCGGGTGCGAAATCAAGGATGTCTGCGATCTTGCATGCGAGAAAGGTTGGTTTGTAATCAACCACTTTCATAGTTCTTCTTAGCCTTTCCATTTACAGCTTGGGCTAATACACCCGCAATCTGCAAGCCAGGACAGCTGTGGCACGGCAAGGCATGCATTGACAAGACGTGAGTCATGGCAACCCTTACCCCCGCCCCCGCTGGCAAAGTCACTGACTGCAACCCCCACAGCTGTCATCAACAACTAACTCTCTTGTCGAGTTTACCAGGCGCTGCTCGGTATCATCAACGAACTGGCCGGTCATGTTGGCTGCGTTTGTCGCAATTGATCAGAGCTTTCAGCGAGAAGTTACACGATGTCAGATTGCCAACTGGTAAGTAGAGATGGGGACTGGGCTACCTTTCCAGTCTACCATCACATCCAAATGCATCGGACACGCTGAACAAAAAACATGAACTTGATCCAGTCCACCAACTCTACATGACTCTACATGGCTCCCTCGGGTGCACCCGGTCGGGTGTGTTGCGTCCGAACCAGTCGAAGTAAAACTAGCATTCTGCAAAGCGAGACCGGTCAACATGCAAAGTGAAGCAGGACCGGTCACAGCAAAACTTTCATTCTGCAAAGCCAGACTGTTCGATGTGAAGAGCGAAGCCGGATGGAATCGCGTTGGAATCCGTTATGTAGGGAACAATCCATGTGCAAAGTGTCCGACAAAGAGGAGCCAAAGTCAACTGGCGCTTGATCAAGAATGCTGCCATACAGATTGCCTGGCAACAAAAGTCGGGGCTCCTGCTTTTGCATAGGCCCAGCTCAGACTCAGACCTTTGTTTGCGGAATGCTAGCTTCGAGGGTCTCCGCGCAATAAAGAGCCGGCTACATCTTACTTCCAGGCCTTACCCTCGGGCAACACAGGCCAGGATCTCCAGGTCTCTGCAATTTCCAAGCTGCTCCGGAACTCTCTCCAGATCGCAGGCCGCCACGCCGTCCACGCCCCCAACTGGCATTGTCGAGTTGGTAACGTGAGAGCCGTGGTGGGATGGATGAAGTGGAGAGATGTCCCCGACAGGGACCATGCAGGCGTGGACACATTGTATGCGCTGTCAGGCACATGTCTCCACCTCATCCATCCCACCACGGCTCTCATCCAGCGTCGTTCTGCTGACACCATCTCGTAGGTGAGGAAAGGCTCGAATGGGTGATCGAGCAGCTGAATCGCAGGAACCTCACTCACCACGTCCCGCAACTCTTCCTCGGCCTTGCCCTTTCCGTCAGGTGCGGCCGGGGTTGCCGAGGGCTCTTTGGCTCTAGCAGAATCTCAGCAGAATCTCATTTTCACAGCACAAGTGGTGCAGAGCCATGTGGCTCTGCACCACCGATGTGAAAATGAGATGCTGCTACCCAACTGGGGTAGAGCTACCCAAAAAAGAAGACGCCCAAGAAATGCTGCTTTAGAAGTTTCGAGGCAATGGCGTCGTTTTGCAACTGACCATGCTGAACCGATCGCATATGCCGGAGCTTCACACGAGATGCAAGGATAGAGCAACAACTGAAACACAAGCTGCGCAAAGCCACACCGATGTGAAACTCGAAATCACGGCTGACCGGGTGCACCTTGATCCTCAGCTGCATTGCAGACGCAGACGGTCCATCATCAACAACTCATGTGCAAAGTGCAAGATTCCAATCACAGTTTACTTCCCGTAGGCGTTTCGGATGTGGCATTGAACTCTCTCTTTTCCGTCGCACCTGCATCAATCGCAACATGTAGCGGTTTACGGAGAGCTCCTCCTTCACATGGCGAAATCATTCATCCGCGTGACATCTCTTCATCTTCACTCTTGATCACGTCCTTCAAAGCTGGAAGAAAGCCCCATCCAGGCTGACTACTTCGCTGGCTGGTGATGGACGTGGATCTCGACATGGGGCCGTGATGAGCACCGCAACGGACTCAGCACAGCGGAAGTCAGCCTGGGATTGTTTGGAGTTTCAGAAGCCTTGAGGCAGCCCCCTAAACCCTAGCAGCCCGGCCTTCGTTGAAGACTTTTGCCATGTGAGATCTCGCCGCAAGCTCATCCTTGAAGTGCCTGGCCAGGGGAAATCGGGCGGGGAGGATGCGAGCGCGCGGAGGAAGGGGGGGGGGGGGGGGGGGNNGGGGGGGGGGGGGGGCGCTGGGCGGGGTATTTGTATATGGTGTTTATACTTTCAGTGCCCTGGCTATCGCAACCCACGAATCTAGTAAACGTCATAGCTAAAACTAGTAAAGGATAGTGTGACTTTGTATCACAGTTTACAGAGCTCGCTGCCTCAGCTCGTTGGTCTGCGCCTTGACAGGGTACCAGCGCGGTAGCAAAACAGGTTCCGTCTCAATGCCAAGCCTCCGCCCGCCGCTGCAGGAAGTTCAGCATCTCTTCCAGACCTTGTCTGGCTCAACATGACTCCAGAACCATAGTATATGACAGGAGATTACCGGAAATTATTGTACATTATAGTATATTGTAGTATACTACAGTATGATTATACAGTATATTGCTCGTACTAGTGTTTTTGCAACTTGTCAACAAGCAAGTGTTCCCGTAATGCTGCAGAGGTCTTCTCCGGAGGCCTTTGAATCAGCAAAACCCTACAAGTAGATCCCCGAACCGAGGAATCTCAAGGCATGGACCGCGCATGTCGACCGGTTTCTCGTCCGACTTGCTCCAGGCGTCCTGATGCGAAACCCCTGCCACCTTTATGCCCTAGGCCCTGTTCGAACTTTACGAGTATTCCATCTAAGCCCCGAATTGCAAGATTGGTCTGAGTGAACCGTATGTTTATTAGAAAAAGTCTTGCCACTGAACCCTGGCTGCATGTTGGAATTTCCTCTGGCCAGGGCTGGGCAGCGGCAGCTGCCGCTGCATGGTGCCAGGCCTCGAAGGAAAAGCCATGACCAGTTATCACTGCATCCCAAAGTCAGGTGCACTCTTATGAGGGTTCAGTTTGGGGTGCAGTCAGGATACGGAACAGGCTGACAGTCTTCTCGGTCTGTCAGCCTCTGCGAGCCCCTGGCAGCAGCAGCCATTCTTTGAGCTGCGCTGTCTTTCGCTCGGTCCTGGCGGTAGAGGCATCTACTAGCCTACCGGTTATCTGCTTCGGCACGGCATGCCACTGTTTCGGGCTCAGTGGGGTGCTGCCTCTCGCGAAGCCTTTTTTTCAACGTGGCGGCCCGCCTCTGCTGGGGAAGCGGCAAGCCGCCTCGCAAGGCCTTCCAGCAGTTGCTCGTAGGCTTCCTGGAGACACAGCTGGCTGCTGTGAGTGAAGGAGTCACTGCAATTCCGAGGGGTGGGCCTCGGCTGGTGGCGGCTGCTTTCTTGGAGGGGCCTGTACCTGTAGTAGGACCCGTCAACCGACCCTCGAGGAGTAACGCACATCGACCACCCAGCCTGGGAAGGATGAGCTTCCGCAGGGGCAACAGGCCTCAGCGTGTTCGAGCGCTCCAGATGCGCAGAGGATTCCATGTGCAAAAGGGCACGAGTCACCAAGACAATGCCGGGCCCCTCACAAAGTCAAAGGCTCCGATCTGGTCGCAAGGGTGGGCGGCAGGTAGGCCTCCAGGGAAGGCCTGGTCTGCACTATCAAGGAGTCAAGGCTCAAGGAGGCTTCTTCAAAAGTCTACCGAGTTCATGGATGGTAGTACACACTTTGAGCTAGCGGCGACAATTGAACACCGGGCTTCCAATGCACCTGTGTCAAGCACGCATCGGATTCACAGTGGTGGTGGTGTTGGTGGTGGTGGTGGTGGTGGGGGTGGGTGGTGGGTGGTGGGTGGTGGGGGTGGGGGTGGTGGGGGTGGTGGTGGTGGTTGTGGTGGTTGTGGTGGTTGTTGCTGTTGTCGTCGTCGTCGTCGTTGTTGTTGTTGTTGCTGTGGTGGTTGTTGTTGTTGCTGCTGCTGCTGCTGGTGTTGTTGTTGTTGGTGGTGGTGGTGGTGATTGTTGTTCTTGCGGCTGCAGCCGCTGCTTGCTGGTGTTGTTGTCGTTGTCATTGTCGTTAGTGTTGTTGATGATGTTGTTGTTGATGTTGTTGCTGGTGCTGGTGCTGGTGCCGGTGCCGGTGCTGGTGCTGGTGCTGTTGCTGTTGCTGTTGTTGTTGTTTTTGTTGGTGGTGTTGTTTGTTGTTGTTGTTGTTGTTGTTGTGGTGGTGGTGGTGGTGGTGGTGGTGGTGGTGGTGGTGGTGATGGTGGTGGCGGTGGCGGTGGCGGTGGCGGTTGTGGTGGTTGTGGTGGTTGTTGCTGTTGTCGTCGTCGTCGTCGTTGTTGTTGTTGTTGCTGTGGTGGTTGTTGTTGTTGCTGCTGCTGGTGTTGTTGTTGTCAGTGGTGGTGGTGGTGGTGGTGGTGGTGGTGGTGGTGGTGGTGTTGAGGCTGTTGTTTTTGTTGTTGTTGTTGTTGTTGTTGTTGTTGTTGTTGCTGTTGTTGTTGTTGTTGTTGTTGGTTGTTGTCGTTGTTGTTGTTGTTGTTGTTGTTGTTGGTTGTTGGTTGTTGGTTGTT